CAACACATTGAATGGAGTTTGGAAAATTTTATAGTATCCCGTCATTTGAACAGTCCTATTCAAATTGTATCATATTATATGGATGTGCATTCTCGTGGCGTTCTTGATGACACAAATATTCGCTTTATAGGGAATGAGGCAGTCAAAGAACCGTTACCGGCCGAACGTTGTCGAGAATTATTGGAACATTATTTTTTCAGTGACCAATTAGACAATGTCTTTTCTTACCGATTCTTGGAAATTTTTGTTAATGTATTAGCAGATCAATTGGTTCGGCTATCCGTTAGTTCCTTTTTTCAAGTTGAACAATTACGTGTAATGACTCGAGAAACAAACATTCGTTCATCACTTTTTGAAATATTGGTTTCTTGTTCTAAGGAGTTTGCCACACGAGCGATCAAGGCTAAGGATAGGCAAAAGGAGAACATTAAAAAAGAAAATAATCAAGAAATCGATACTGCTCGACTTGGAAACATAATTCAGTGGGATGACTCGAATCATCTTGTTGTTGTGTTTTTGTCGCAAATGCCAGATTCTATATGTGCTCTCTATCGAGAAAAAAGTAAAGTACCTGATAATGTTGAAAATTTATTAAAAAGTCAAAATGCCGAATTACAAGACTATTATAAAATGAAACCAGAAATGTTATTGGAACAACTGGAACGACTTGCAAGGAAAAAAATGAACAAGTTAAAAGACTTACCTGAATACGCGTTAACAATAGAGAACCTCCTCAAGATGGCAATGATTTTATTGAGATCACGTGCAAATATTCCAGTAGTCTGTTGTGGTGAAGCTGGTTGTGGCAAGGTTCGAATGATATACTTATTAGCATAAAATCCATTTTTATTTGGTTGTTATAATACGCGAGATTATTAATTTTTTTTTATGCAATCTAAATCTAGACTAGTTTAATCAGCTTCTTGTCGATGGTCATGGAAGTCAATTTTCGAGCATTAAATCTTCATGCGGGAATTCATGAAGATGATATTCTAGATTTTATGGAAAAGGCCACAGCACTCGCAAAAGAAGGTGAAACTTGGATTTTCTTAGATGAAATAAATACTTGTGACCACATTGGAATGCTTGGAAGTTTGATTTCACATAGACTTCTTAATGAAAAAAAAATACA